TTTTTTTTTTCGAGACAGAGTGTCACTTTATCACCCACTATAGAGTACCTGGCATCATCATAGCTCATAGCAACCTCAAACTCGAGGGTTTAAGTTATCCTTCTGCCTCAGCCTCCTGAGTAGCAGAACTAAACTACAAGCACCTACTATGCCACCCAGCTAATAAAATTTGTTTTAAACTTATTCAGTGGTGACATCTATAGGTCTATGAAGAAAAGCACTAACAGACTAATGCTAAACTTACCTGTACTATTCTACAACTGATGTGAATCTAACTTCATACCAAACAATACTTTTGGTAACCCTTTGGTATTTCAGGAGAAAGTCAAGTTAGGGAAATAAAAGATGTATGACCAAAGGCCCAATTACTAAGCGTGCTCCCAGTCCTTACTGTGATTGAATGGATGCAAGAGATTTTCTGAAGGTAGACTGAATATCTAACTGAAGCAGCCTAGGAATATCTGGATATCCACCCAGCTGGGCCCAGAGCGAATGCATTGATGTCTTCTCTGCTATTGGGTAGCTTGAAATGGACAGATCAACATTCCAGATGGCCTCCATCTGCTCCTCTTGCTGCCTACAGAGAGAATTACTTGGAAGTGCCCATAGCCAATCAAAATATATGATCCTTATTCTCACCTCTTCCCTTCACCACCAACTTTTCTTAAAATGCCTTCCCCTTGCAAGGAGGAGCATTAAGTATGCTCACTTTGGTGGTAAAAGGATGAAAAAGCAGAATTTGCTGAAAAAGTTGCCAAAGCTGCATTTCCACAACTTCACCTAGTAAATCCATTTTAAAACTACCTTCTTAACTCTGTGGAGAATATTGACCACACATCTTTTCCCCTTCCTCCCAAAAGTTCCTGCCTTCTTAAAACAAAAAAAAGTAAAAGAGGGGTTAATGCTTCTAAATTTTTTTTATTACACATTCTTAAAATAATTTGTTTCTTAGTAAGGAAGAATCAGTTCATCTTTTCTAAAGCAACTCAAAATCAGATGTTAAATATTTAAGTAGAAATATATGTAAATAAATCTCTTGCTGTTAGTTAATACTCCCTTAGACTCTTCATTGCACCATATTATAAAGGGAAAGCCCTTGGGCAGGGAAAAAAAATTAGATCCTACATATGATCCAAAGTTTAATGTTATTCTTCCTACACATACCTAAATTTCTTGAATATGTCAGGTTTTCTGTCCTCTTCTTTCAGTAACTGTAGGAATGGCTGTTGAACATACGGAGTAGACATAGGTATATGCTTTTTGTCGATCAAGGCGATAGGTTGCCTAAGATTCAGTCCATATGTCTCTTGGATCTATAAAAACATTAAATAAGAAAAAGGAAAACATGAAAATAAAGGAACAGAATCTATAGGAGGGTCTTCTCAGCTGGTCCTAGACTAAACACTATGACTACTCCTTTTCCATGGATTGTCAAATCTTCTTCCTTCTCCACCTGACCTCCACACACATTATTTCCAGAATGGGAGCTCTGATATATGAAAATCTTAATCCTACTGAAGCTCCTCTCATTTTCTTCCTAAGAGAGTTTGGGTTAGTTGCTTAATTTGTATTTCTTTCTCTTCATTTTAAAAACTCAGGGTTATTGTAATAATTACATAAGGTAATACACGTATATATGGAAGCACTTGATAAATTGTGAAGCTCCATGCAAATGTAATAATAGCCAACATTTCCTGAATGCCAGACACTAAGCTAAGCACTTTTAATATGCCTGTGGTCCTAGCTACTTGGGAGGCTGAGGCATGAGAATCACCTAAGCCCAGGAGTTGGAGGTTGCTGTGAGCTGTGTGACACCATGGCACTCTACCAAGGGCGATAGAGTGAGACTCTGTCTCTACAAAACAAAACAAAAAACACTATTTGAAGAGACTGAACAAGTATCAGGACCAGAGTCAGATATGTTAGGAATGTTGAAATGATCAGACTAGGAATTTAAAACAACTGTGACTCAATGTAAACATTTCACATTGTATATTGAAGCAGTACCCTGAACCCTATAAATGCATCAATGTACAAAGTTATGATTTAATAAAAAAATTTTTTAAAAGGAAAAAAATAAAAAAAACTGTGACTAATATGTTAAGAGTGCTAATGGAGGCTCGGCACCTGTGGCTCAAGCGGCTAAGGC